AATTTCCTGACAGTGAGAACTATTAAGCAGTGGAACAGCTTGCCTCCCAGAGTTGTGGGTGTTCCATCACTGGAGGTTTTCAAGAAAAGATTGGACAATCATTTGTCTGAGATGGATGAGGGCTTCTGCCTTGGGCAGAAGTTGGACTAGAAGACCTCCAAGATCCCTTCCAATCCTATCATTCTAGGACCCAAGGAGCAGAACTTTTTTGTCACAGTGCCTGCCCTCTGGAATGGGGTCCCCCCTGAGATCCGGATGGCTTTCACCCTGCTGGTGTTCTGGACAGCCATAATGACCTGATGTTTTGCCTGATGCAACTCTGAACAATTATCTTAAGCATCATATAAAGCTCCAAGACATCACAAACAACTACTGAGTTTTAAAGTGCAGGTACTATTGGAGTCAGTCCTCTGAATAAGCTTTTCCAAGAACTTGTAATCACTCAGCAGGTATCCAACAGCTCAACACAACCAAATAAGGGCTCTGATGACTCATCTCACACAGACACTCACCAGACTCAAGAATTATCGCTCACAAACATTTCCGTTCATATGTTTTTTAAACAGTTTTATTGATTTTGTAAGTTTTCTCTTATAAATGATTCCTCTCCACTTTATGTCCCTGTTATTGAAAGGAAAAAGCTTATAAACCTTCAAGTAAATAAATACAAAGCTTCAAAGAGATATTGACAGGTTAATCTAAGTCTTTGCATCAAAATAACAAAAAGGCTTGTGGTATCACAGCAATTAATACATTTATTACTCCTTAAGGTTTTGCAGATCACTTTATCAGCTGCACTGAGTAGAGTCCTAAGAAAGCAGTATTACAGATATAGACAGGCAGGCACAGATATACCTACACAAGAGCTGCTGGGGGTGGGGAGTGAAAGGAAGGGGAATGGTGGAAGGAGAGGTGAGAGACAAAATAGACAATGACTATTAACAACACGGTAGTTAGGTGTGACACAAACATTTTTGCATTAATGAGCTGGTTAACTGCATGACTAAAGGTTGCTGTTTAATGTGTAAGAAATGGTGCTAAATTTTCTAATAAATTGTAAATCAGCTGTTTTATAATTAAATTGATCTTTTTTCATTCCTTTGCTCAATTAGTGATAGCATATCCAGGGGAGCTGAGAAGTTTTCTTATTGGTCTTTGGATGTTGCCATTTCTGATACCAGATTTATGCCACTGATTCTTTTATACAGAGTATGGCCAATTGTCCAGTGTCAAGTGTCATGGGATAATGCCAACAGAGGACCACATATATCATCCTGGAGGAAGAGCAAGTGCACATTCCCTGATGTGGGAGTGTTCTTAGATTTGATGATAAAGTTGCCAGAAGAGATGAAGGAGTTGGCATCTAGGTCTGGAACAGGATTTGAGTCCCATGTCTGTACCCTTGTGGTGTTTTCTGCTGTGGATTAATACTTGTTCTAGGCTGGGTAAATGTCTGTAAACAAATACAAGCTTACCACCTAAAGACTTTGAAAGGAAAGCATCACCATCCAGGATGGGCTGTTGATCACAGATAATATATTTGAGTTACTTTGGCCTGCCCATAAATATGTTGTTTCCTAGATCATCTCAATCACTAAAAGTGCAATCTTACGCATATCTGTCTTGCTGCCAGGAAATGGTTACAGGATTACAGTGTAAAGAAATGAAACAGCTTTTCATATGCTTTGCTATTTCTAAAGAAAAACACTACAATGATTCAAAAATCTGAATGGATGATTACACATGAGAAAGGAATGGAGGCCAATTAGTGGCTTGGAATGGTTATTATTTTGCAGCACAACTTACTTCATAGGATTGCTGTGAGGATAATAATAGGGGAGACCAATATGTGTGCTGCCTTGAACTCCAAGTAGAAAGACAGAATATGTGAAATAATACATATAATTCCTAAATCCTAAATTAAGAGAAAATGTGATTTAAATAATGATGCATAGACTTTATCATGAAATGATTTGTTTTTACTCAGATAAAATCAAATCCCATAATGCTTGATATTCCCTTGCAGAAGTGTTGCAGTTTTGCTACCTTCAATAGCTACTCTATTTATCCTTAATTGGGAGTAAATTCTATAGAACTTAGTAAGACTTACTTGTAAGCAGGTTCACCCATTGTTAACCATGATTTGACTAATCCATGATGGCTAGCTTCAAAACGAAGACAATGCTTCAAACCATCTACACCATTGGCTTAGCATGAAACATGAGGCCAATTTTAAAAGTGACATGACCTGGCTTACAACATTAATTTAAATAAACACCTTATTTATTTATGAAGACCACCCTTTGCTAAAAAAAAGTGGGTCTTCCAGTAGCATTCATAAAAATCAATTTAAAAAAAGCATCACCTGCTCACACCCTTACAATCCAAAAGGAAAAAGGAACATGGTTCCAAAAAGACAAGCAAAACCAATAATTGCTATAAAGTTAATAGTATTTAGACTACTGCAACGTGGCTGCAAAAATACAGATGGCCACTAGGTAGAAGCAAAGAGTTTTCCATATCTCCTTGCTGCTATGTAGTAATCATCTAGATTTTTGTAGCCTAAATATGGTAGCTCTAATAATATTTCTTATTTGACCAGATGGAACAGAAACTATTAAAAATGGGAAGGAGCTGATATCTAATGATGGGCAGAAGCCATGGTTGTTTTCCATTTTCTGGAGGGAGAATCTGATAAAGCTGGTCTCTTACCAAAGCTTTATTTAACAATAAGCTATCAAAGCTTGCATTGCTATTGGTGTTCCCAGTGCAATGATCCCAATTTTGCATGGGTCAAAATTTACTGATTGGTCATTTTTATTCTTTCCTACCAAATAAAGTGTCGGGGAGAAATTATGTGAAAAGGTGGATCTCTCCATCTACCAATCAGTTAGCACAATGAATCTTTAAACTGAACTGAACAGAACAGGATGAGATTTGGTGTGAAGGGAGAAGCCAGCAAAAAATAGG